GCTGATGGGTTTGACCAAGTAGGTGAACTTGGACTTTTTGTACTCATGAACTAGAATTGTCATGTTTTCTTGCAGGTTTGGGAGGTGGGGGAATGAACTTGATTAGCCTGCTTTTACACCTGTACATATGAATGATGTGTGCTTCTTTTTCTAAAGTTGCACTTATTGTCGCAAGGAAATTGAACTGATATGTTTGTTCCTCAATTTTGGGCGGTGGATATAAACTCTTATGATTACCTGATTTTTATTTGTACTTCTGAATTTCAATTTCCCTCTTTTAATTTATTGTTTGAAGGCTGAATTTTTTATTTCATTATGATTTGTTAAATTCATTTTTCCTCTGCGATTTTTTCCAGCTTCTTTTCCCTAACTTTGATCTGTCGTCATTTGTGGCTACCATGAAGCCTAGCGAAGAATCTGGGCATTGGTGCTTGATTGTTCTGAATTTGAGGTTCTGTCATTTCAAGTGTCTTGATTCACTCCGTGATGAAACCTGGGGTGATGCAGTTAGATTCTTAATGAATATGACATATAATATAAAGAAGCTTTGGAGGGAGTCGAGTGTAGACAGGTCCAAAACGTTCTTGCCGATGCATATTAATGGTTTCTCTTACGAGTTTGTGCGGGTGCCGCAGCAAGAAAACATGTGAGTATCCATTTTTAATGATTTTTGTTAGTTGTTTTTGTTGCTGGGAGGATGTTGTTCCTGTATTTTCGGATTTGTGATGTACCATTTTGTTTTTTCCTTTGTTTACAGGCATGATTGTGGATTCTTTATGCTACAAAACTGCAAGACCTATCATTGCCGGGAGGATGGTGCAATTGAAATGGTCGATTACCGCCATGAAGACATTCTTGACATTAGGAAGACTTTGTTGTATACCTGTGCAACTAGCGATGTGTTTGATGTTGACTTCCGGGGTTTGTTTGGCATCGAACCCTGTACGTGTGCATGGCCTTTTGTAATTTTTTGCAGCTTGTACTTCTATATTAGTACTATCATGAATTATGTATTTGAACTTACCCTTGTGCGGTCTTCTTCTTTTTTGTTTTTGTTTTTGCAGGTGAGTGGCTGGATCTTGGTGAGCATGACTACAGGTTCTTTGGCAGGCAGTTCTCGGAGCTCGAGCGTGTAACTATTGATCTTAGCCAGGGGCGTTCTCCTGAAAATACAAGATTTGGTGTTATGAAGTGGCGGTTGGGAGCTCTGAGAGGTTCTACGGCTGCTTGTGTAGAGAGCCCCACTACACCCAAGAATTCCATTGTGGAATTGATAGACTGCAATGATGATGTGTTTGACAAGATTGCTAGTGTGGGAAGAGTCACGAGGATCGCTGCTGCCAAAGGTTTATCTCCCCTTGCTGGAATAGTGGCTTGTAGAGCTGGTGGTACTAGGAAAGATCCTGCTTTGGATTCTAGCAATGTTGTAAGCATGAAGCGTGCGCCCAGAGCTCCTATAAAGTTTTGCTCCCCTGTGCAGCAGCTTCACCCTCATAAATTCCCTCACCTGGACAAGGCTCGCAAGTTGTATAATCTGTTGCTTAGTGATGAATGGCGTGAGAAGTATGCGAGTGAGTATCTCTCATTATTTTTCCTCTTCTTTTTCTTCTGTTTTTTGTAACTGCTAGATAAATATGACCTGAACTATTCCTTTTTATACAACTTGAACTGCTATGAATGCCTTATCTTGCTTCTCCTTCTTTTTGTTCTTGTGTGTGCTGCAGGAATACATTCTCAATGATACCTCAGCCTGATGAAAGAGTAACTAGCTTCACTGTGAATCGCATCTGGGAAGTTTTTCACCTGGGCAAATGATGGAGGGTGATGTAATGGACTTCCTCATTGATGATTGGAAGAAAGATCCCGAGGGAAATGCCAATTTCGCATCTGGGAAAAGGGTATTGCTGAGTCCATATTTCATCACGGTAATCAATCAGATCGTTTCTTTCTGTTGAACAAGTCTGCCTATTGTTTTTACGAGTTTTAATAATACTTTGCTTGTTGATCCTTTTCTGCTGTCTATTTCTTTTTTGGCTTTTTTGCAGGTTGTGCTTGACTGTACGTTTTACGGTGATGAAAATAAAGTGTTTAATGTGGAGAGTGTAGGGAGAGATTTCAAGAGCTATGTTAAAGATAAGGAAGACTTGCTCAGTGCCGACCTTGTGAGATCTACTAGCTGATTCTTGGTTTTATTTGTTTGTTGTGATGCTGGTTTTTATTTTGAATATTTAACATCTCTTTTTTGGTCATTTGTTTTTAGATCATGATGCCTCTATTCAAGCCTATGATTTTAGCAAAGGATAAGAAAGTGAACCACTTTTCCTTATATGTCATGAATCGGTACCGAAGTAGCGTTGACATCCTTGACTCTTTACCTTATCCGAAGAACCGTCGTCCTTCAAAGAACACCTATCATAAAGACTGTGAGAAGATTGTGAGTGACATTTATTATCTGTACTGGATTAATTTTTCTGCATCTTTGTTTCTACTTTTCTGAGACCTAAAAATGTGTGGTTTCTTTTTTTTTTACAAATTTCTAGATTGGTCGAAGTAATGAAGGCCGTGTATGGTGATGCTCAGTACAATGCGAGCAAGCAGCCCAATTGGGAGCTATTTGCAAAGAAACCAATGTTTGTCAAGGTTCCACTTCAAGGGCCGAATGAATGTGGCCATTATACTCTGAAGTATGCGGGATCCTATGATGGTGAAAAGATCGTTGAGAACATTCGAGATAATGACATGGGTTCTAGTTAAGCTTTTCACTTTCTGTGTTTGGCTTATTGTGTATCCTTTTTATATGTGTCATGATTTTTGATAATTTGTTTTATTGTTTTGCAGCCACGTATTGTTGATTGGAATGCTAAGGATCTGTATAGAGTTGTGTTCAAGCGGAATAGCCAGCTTGTGGTGACGGAGCTTCCCAAGGAGGTTCAGGCTTTAGCTCCTGATGCATAGGAGAAATGGTCAACATTTGCGTAGTGAATGGGATAGTTGTGTGATATATCGCTTGAAAGCATTGTAGGCTTTTGTTTGTGGTTTTTGGATGTCTTGTCAAGTACTATGTAATAACTGGTATATTTTGTGTTGTGTTTGAGTGTGGCAGAATGTTTAACAAACTTTTCTTCCATGATGATATTGTGGTTGAATAGTTGTTTCACTTGTGTATGTTTCATCGGGAATTCATTTTGGTTAAGTTTTATTTTTTGTACTGAAGTCTTATACACTAGTTGAACTGAAAACACCTTTTTTCATTAGGATTTTTTTTCAAGTGCATTATGAGTTGTTGCTGGAAAAGTGAGATTTATTTTATTTTCATCTGTCCCAACCTAAGTTGGACCTTTATTGTTTCTGTACACTCTTTTTCTTGTACTTATGGTATAGATCTGTTAGTACTGAATTGTAATCTCATTCAGCGTAAGGCATTTAAAATTGAGAGCCAAATTTTTTGTTTGAACTTGTTGAGTTTTAGTAGTTGAACTTCATAGTAAAAGTTAAAGCACTGGTTTAAATTAGCTACATTTAACAGGTAGCCCTATTAATTTCATAACTACTTCACTAGTCAATATGGACTGATGCTTCTGTTGTTTGGTGTGATCATAGTACTTGTTGTATAGACTAAGTTGTACTGAGATTTCAGTTGTATTATTTCTGTTATTCTTAGTGTGTCACTGTTTTAGGGAATGCGAACTAAAGCTTCCCGTTCCTTTTTATATTTTTTAGAATGAATGTACCATGTGTTCAAGTGTACCAGAACTTTCAGTCCTAGCATGCTAGTGACTAGGAAATACGTATTGATGGTTCTTTGCTTTTCCTGTTGCAGTACTTAGTAATTTTTTTGTTTGAACTTCTTAAGTTTTAGTAGTTGAACTTCATAGTAAAATTTAAAGCACTGGTTTAAATTAGCTACATTTAACAGGTAGCACTATTAAGTTCATAACTACTTCACTAGTCAATATGGACTGATGCTTCTGTTGTTTGGTATGATCATAGTACTTGCCGTATAGACTAAGTTGTACTAAGATTTCAGTTGTATTATTTCTGTTATTCTTCGCGTGTCACTGTTTTAGGGAATGTGAACTGAAGCTTCCCGTTCCTTTTTATATTTTGTAGAATGAATGTACCGTGTGTTCAAGTGTACCAGAACTTTCAGTCCTAGCATGCTAGTGACTAGGAAATACGTACTGATGGTTTTTTGCTTTTCCTGTTGCAGTACTTAGTAAATTTCTAACTACTATTAGCACGATGCTTTTAGTACTGAATGTTGTCCTCGGCTGAAACTTAGTCTTTTTAATGTTCTTCTGAAACTAAAACTGATTTTTAGTGTGATAGTACTGATGTACATGTCTAAGCTATACTGAGTGTCCAAGGCTAGTATTTGCTTTTGTCCTTAGTTAGTCTGCCACTGTTTTTATTGCGAAAATATTTATGTGTTATTTTTGTTTCTCCATGACTAGTGCTGCGTGGCAGCCATCAAGTTTCAACTTCAACCTACTTCAACTTCAAATGATGGATCAACAAAATAGGAAGCTAGCAAACTTGTTAGATGACATAAGCAAACGATGTACTTGATAGACATAGGCAAACTTGTTCAAACCCTGACACACATAACATAAGGTAGCTGGTTCAACATAACCAAAGCAAACTACAAATCTGAAACAACAAGACTAAGGACAGGCAGAAGGGCGAGCAACACGAATGCAGACATTCATGCATCTTCATCCCGCGAAGTTGCAGTGGTAGTAGGGGTCAGCCTCCTGCTCTTTTGAAATATCCCAACCTGTCACGATGTTGTCGATTGTCTTCCATGACTTGTATGTTGTGTACGCATCTATTCCTACGTACGTGATGAGGTTGTCTGGCAGCGGCCTGGTCCCCCATAGTTTGTGGTCTGCCCTATCCATCTTCTTCTTCATGCCGTCGTAGAATGGGTGGATGACGCCGCCTGCAACATCGGCCAAGGAGTCATAGTATTTGTCGGTCTTTGGATCTTTCCACTTGTGCTACATGTCGATGAAGTTGTTGGGGTTGATCTCCAAACAAGACTTGTCCAACATCCGCTTGTCACCTCCAATGTTGAAACCGACAAATGTGTACAATTTCTCCTCCTGCAGGAAGTCTTTGAGGCGCTTGGGCTTGCAAGGGGGGAGACACACATTTAAAGATTAGTCTTCTTTTTTGAAGATTTAATTCTTCTGCTCTTTTTGGTTTTACAAGTGATAATCCATGAGGTAGATGCTTATATATTATGAGTCATGGATGAATGTAGTTCAGAAACTTGTACACAAAGTCCTAAAATTAAATTCAACTACACCATGTTATTTTTTTCTTTTTTGCTATCATCATTGCTTCACCAAATGCTTCACCAAATTCAAGAATCAGTTTACCAGAGTCAATGATATATGTGCTGCTTGATTGAATTTTAGTTTTCTTTTTTGTTGAATAAAAGACCTATACCAGTGCTTGATACATCTTTGTGCATTAATTCTATATCAAGTTCAGAAATTAATTTGAGAACCATCTGCATCAAGATACGGACCTATACCACTTCATCAAAGATATTTTAATATATCAATTCTATAAACTATACTGGTGCATCAAGATCAGAACCTATGCTAGTACATCAAGTTCAGAAATTAATTTGGTGCATCAAGTTCAGAATGCTATAAACATTTTTTCAGATGCTAATCTGGTGAAACAATCCACCTCATAGTTTCAGAAATGCATTTAACTTGAGAAACATGTACTCATGCATCCACTTCACAAACTATAGTAGTTCATCTAGTTGGGAAACAAGTTTAATTAAGTTTTTAGTGAGTAGTACTAGTACAACAGATGAATGAACAGTAGTATTTACCATTTTGTGGCTGCTGCGATGTGGTATACCAAGTAGAGTTCCTCGATGCACAACTGCAGGACTGGCGCCATCTGTGGAGGTTCTTCTTTGTTGGTGTACTCAACATCAACTCCGATGAAGCTCGGATACAAGACGCCGCCCTTCATCCTGAGCCTGCTCATCACCTCGTCGGTCTTGTCTGGTACGCTGGTGCAGACGATCTCCAGCGTCTCCTTGCCATGGAGCTCAACCCCTTTGAGCGTTCTGGTGTACTCGCGCTTCTCGCCAGGGACGTGAATGTTGACGAGGTTGCTGCTCTTGTTTGACGTCTCGCCATGGTGACGCTTGGAGGACGGTTCCTCCGCCATCGCTTTCCTCCGGCGACTGTGGGCTTGGGAGAGAGAAGTTTTTGGTTTGTGTGCAGTGGAGATGGAAGCAGCAATAGTGGTTCTGTGAATGAGGCAGAGATGGAAGACAATGGGGTATTTTGCAGTGCGTCGATGGGGGTGTGTGGGAGGAGGTTCGTCGGGGGCGTGGGTGTAGTGGTCGTGGGGGTCGCTGTTTGCAGTGCCTCGTGGCAACCGCCCAGTGGGTGGCGCGGGTGGTGGCCTGGAAGAACTAACCGTCCAACACAAAGGTTTTTTACTGCTGCACTGATTAGTCTTGTCAAGTTGTACTTGCGATCTGCTAAATCCCACTTGCACGTCTCTATGGTGGTGATAATGGCGTTTTGCACTGTTTAGGTGACGTATGCTTTGTGATGTTTTTCCATGTGGATGTTAAGTATTGTTTTTCCATTGAACTCTTATACACTAGTTTATCTCAAAACATTTTTTCAGTGCCCTGGGAGCTGTTGCTCAAAACTTGTACTTATTTTATTTTCATCTGTACCAACATAAGTTAGGCCTTTATAGTTTTTGTATTCTCATTTTAGTGCACTTTTGGTTTAGTGCTGTGTGAACTGAATTGTAATTTCATACAGCGCACGGGTTCAAAATTTGATGTCATAGTGGTGTGACTCGCCTGACTGAACCTACTATTTTACTGATGTCATATGTATGTCTGAACTGAGGTTTTTTTGGTTTTTTGGGTGGGATGGGGGTTTGAGATTATTTTATGACCAGATCGTTCGTTGAGGTGTGGAAAGATTTTATATAAATAAGAAATTTAGCAGCATTGACAAATAAGTTCTATTTCAATTTCTTGCATTTTAGTAGTTGAAGTAGTCAGATTTTATATAAATAAGAAATTTAGCATAATTGACAAACATTATATATTTGAGCTTTTTGCATTTTAGTAGTTGAACTTGTCATAATTGACAAACATTATATGCTTGAACTTTTTGCATTTTAGTACTTGAACTTGTCAGATTTTATATAAATAAGAAATTTAGCATAATTGACAAGCATTATATGTTTGAACTTTTTGCGTTTTAGTAGTTGAACTTGAAAGTAATACTTAATTCGGGTTTTTAAATTATGTACATTTAACAGATAGGCTATTAAGTTCTCTTGTTTTTAGAGGTTCATTATTTTTGTATCATATTTTCTCCTTTTTTCTTGTAGAGGTTAATTGACAAACATTTTTCTTGTAGTTTATATTTCTTTGTCCCGCCCTCTGGTTTTGTTTAACTGGGCTTATTGGTGGGGTGTTTTGTTGACAATGCAGGCTATTGGGTCATTTTTCGGCCCGGATAGCTCGTCCGCGCGGCTGTGCAGCACGGCGTGCGCGTGCGCTCTGGGTTTAGTCCTACCTCGCTAGTCGAGGGGGCTCCGGACCTATTTATAAGTGCAGCCGAGGCTCACCAGTCGAACTCCTCTGAACACTTACCTGAGCGCTTATACACGGCGCTCTCTCTCTCTCTCTTAACCTGTGGTCCCTGGTCGGCGGGTCCTGCATTGTGCGGATTACTAGGGATTCACTCATGGGCTCGAGTTCAAGTATCTAGCATTGTCAGGGCCTGCGACTGACCCTGGGCCGTCAATTTTTTTGTTTTTTTGTTTTTGTTTGTTTGAATCTAGTACTTGACTCCAGCAGTAACTTGGACTGATACTTTTTGTTCTAGTTCTTGTCAGTTTTGTGTGAGTGTAGTCTTTTTCATTTGAGTTTTTTGCCTTATTTTTTGTGTTTGTTTTTGTGATTATTCTCAAGGGTCTTCTAGTGTCATTTTCAGAACTACGGTACTTGCGTGTAGACTAAGTTGTACTGATAGTGCATTCATAGTACCGTTTACGGACTGATGCTTCTTTGTACTTTTTATTGTAGTAAGTATGTACTGTCCGATCAAGTGTACTATTACTGTCATTCTTAATCTGCAAGCGGCCAACATAAGTGTGTGGTGATGCTTCTTAACTTTTTTATGTTTGTAGTACTTGTTAATTTCCTAGCAGCTAAATATGAACGAGAACACTACATGAAGTACTAAGAATTTTCACTTCAACTTTTGAAGCGTTGTTAAGAAACTCGAATTGTGCTAATTGTTCTCAACGTTATGTTTTCTATACAATACTGAATTGAAACTAGACATGGAACAACATTGTGTGATTAGTTGCATCATAACTAGTACTTTAGAGTAGCCACAACGTTCCATTCAGAAGCTACTTTTCAATTTTGAAATGATGGATTAACAACATAGGAAGCTACCAAGCTTATATAATGAGATAAGCAAAACATTGTACTTGATGACATAACTAAACTTGTTCAAACATGACAAGCACGACATAAACATACTGGTTCAACCCAACAAGAGCAAACTACTAATTTGAAACAACAAGATAAAAGGCAACCACAAGCGAAAGTAAAACGAAAGCAGACTATGATGTATCTTCATCCCTAAAAGGGGTAGAAGGGGCAGTCGTAGTAGTGGTCAGCCTCCCGCTCTTTCGCATATTCCAAACCATCTGTGATGTAGTCGATTCTGAACCATGAATTGTACGTGGCATACGCATCTACTACTGCATACTCAATGAGGTTGTCTGGCAGCGGGTTGGTCCCCCACAGTTTGTAGTCTTCCTGCGTGTTGACCTTCTTCTTCATGCCTTTGTAGAATAGGTGGATGACGCTGGCTGCAACATCAGTCAAGGAGTCGTACTCTTTTCCGGTGTATGGAACTCTCCACTTGCGCTGAATGTCGATGAACTTGTTGGGGTTGATCTCCAAACCGAACAACTTCAGCTTCTCTTTGTCGCTTTCAATGCTGAAACTGGCAAATGTGAACAACTTCTCATGCTGCAGCATCACGGTCAGGCGCTTGGGCCTGCAAGGCGAGATGCATTTTGAATATTAGCATTACTTTGATGTTTGAATTATTCATTTTTGTTTTGTTTTACAAGCGATGATTCCATGAAGTAGTTGTTTATGTAGGATAAACAATGGATGAATGTACTTCAAAAACTAGTAAACAAAGTTCTAAAATTAAATTAAGTACATCATGGTATTCTTCTTTTTGGATTATGCATAGTTTCAGTCAATGTTGTATGTTCTGTATTGGTACTAGTTTAGTTTACTTTTGTTGAATAGGATAACACATAACCAGTGCTTCACCAAGTCCTTAGTTTATTTCCTTATGAAAATAACATTAGATCAAATTCAGAAAATACTTCACTACATCAAGTTCAGAAACATCTTTTTAATACATCGAGTGCATAGACTACACTATTGGATCAAATTGAGAAACTACACTAGTCGATCAACTTCAGAATTTAATCTTCCGCAAGATTTTCCAAATAGTATTCCAGTGATCAGGTTCAAAAATACATTTACAGTGTATCTACTTGAGAAAATACAGTAGTGCATCCACTTTTCACAAACCACACTAGTACATCTAGTTGGGAAATAGGTCTGATGAAATTTTCGGGATACAGTACTAATAAAACAGATAAACCATACAGGGCAAATGAGTAGGATGGCTCACCATTTTGTGGTCGCTGCGATGTGGTACACCAAGTAGAGCTCCTCGACGCACAACTGCAGGACTGCTGCCATCTGGGGAGGTTCATCTTCGTTGGTATAGTGCACACCAACGCTGACGATCCTATGATTCAGACTCTTGCCGCCAAGCTTCTTCCAAAGCCTGGAGATCACCTCGTCGGCCTTTTCTTGTACGCTGGTGCAGACGATTTCCAGCTTCTCGTTGCCGTGGAGCTCAACCCCTGTGAGGGTTGTTGTGTACTCGCGCTTCTCGCCGGGGACGTGAATGTCGACGAGGTTGCTGCTCTTGTCCGACGTCTCAGCATGATGACGCTTGGCGGACAGTTCCTCCGCCATCGCCTTCCTTCGGCGACTGTGGGCTTGGGAGAGAGAAGTTTTTGTTTTGTGCGCAATGGAGATGGAAGTGACAATGGTGGTTTGTGGGAATGAGGGAGAGATGGAAGAGAATGGGGTTTTTTTGCAGTGCGTGGACGGGGATTTGTGGGAGGCGGTTCGTCGGGGGTGTGCGTGTAGTGGGTGTAGTGGTGTGGGGTCACCGTTTGCAGTCCCTTGTGGCAACCGCTCAGTGGGTGGCGCGGGTGGAGGCATGGAAGAACTAACCGTCCAAGTTAAATTGTTTTTACTGCTGCACTGACTAGTCTTGTCAAGCTGTACTTATGACCTGCTAAATCCCACTTGCACGTCTCTGCGGTGGTGATGATGGCATTTTACTATCACACTGATTCGTATAGTCAAGCTGTACTTATCAGCTGGTTATCCCACATGCACGTGTCAGTGTCAGTGATGATGGAGGTCTGAACTCCTCTACTGTGGTACTTGGACTGGTGATTGAAGTGTAATTGAACGTACCAAATACCAGTGAGACTATGTGTGATGCTAATGTTTTTTCAACCAATTTTCATATTTTTAAAGGATTGTTTATATCAAGATAATCTCTGAGTTTTTTACAGATAAATTAGATTTTCATCAGTACATGATGTATTATATTCGCATTTTGCTTGAGGTAATTATTTTTATGTACTGATGGTCTTTCTGAATTGGGACTGGCAGAAGCAGACATAGCTTTGTTTTTTCAAAACGATGTTTTTAGGGGTTCACGGGTGTGTTTGTTTTACTATGCCTTTGTACCGACGACTGAGAATTATCCGTACTGATGTACTACAAGAGTTTAAATTTTCCTTGACATATTTTTGCTGAGTTAGTGGTCAACAATAGCGTTTGCATCAGATATATCCAGATAAGTTTTATCAAATGTATTTGTGACTGCATTCAAAAGGATTATCAAATGGTTTACATAATAATGTCACTGCTCCAGCGGGCACAAATCATAAATTATATCCGTACCGATGTGTACTCTGCCTTGTACTGACGACTGGGAATTATTAGTACTGATGTACTACAAGAGTTTAAATTTTCCTTGACATATTTTTTTGCTGAG